TTTAACAAATTTGGAATAAGTATATAAAAGAGATTTGATCAAATGAAAAATATTTTAAAATTTGTTATTTATTAATATGAAGTTTTAAAAAACTTGTTATCTTAATGCTTGTTATAATTAGTTTACTGACTTTGCAAAAGGAATTAAACCCAGAGGAACGTTATATAAACAAATTTTTTGAAAGAATTAATGTATAAATAAAGTATAAACTAGTTGATATTTTGTAATATTTTTTTAAATTTTATTTCTTACCTTTGGTATTCACATTTTCCCTTAATAAATTTTAAACCTGGAAATATTTAAAAAAAAAAAATTGTTTAAACAACTAGTTAGAAAAATTTATGAAATATCTCTGTATTTAAAGGTATGGGAACATTATCTCGTGACCATGAATTCGTGGTCTAAACTAAAAAGTGTGCAATACGAAATATCACGAAAAATAGGCCCTGCCTCTCAAGCAATATACTTCATTCCGCTCAGAATTTTTTTTTTGATCGCAATAATTTGTCGTTCGTTTCTGTATATAAACTCAATTGCCCGACGTATTATATAATGCGTTCACACACACGGTACGAATAATGTCGAGTTTTTTACTATACATACGTCGCAAAAAAACCCCAATGTTTATTGGCGAAAACGTCGACTAAACTAACCGTGACGGCCGACGAAGGTTTATTTTTTTTTTTCTTTTGAAACGACAAATAAGATGCGCTATACGACTCGACAGTGGCGATGGCGTGTGAAAAAACGAAATGATACCGGGAACGGTTGGCGGCGTTCGACCGCATCATATGGGATACACTATGTTTTTTTTTTTTTCTACAAATTACGGTTAATGTCGAATATCGGATAACGTTCTTTAGAACCAATTTAGTGCGCGTTAATTTTAAAGCGAATGACGGCCTGTTACCAAACTTCAAAAAGGTTAGGTTAAGTTAGATACGGCGTACTCATTGTATGTAGGGGTTTTAGTTTTTTTTTTTTTTAGTCGACATTTTAGTTCTTAAGCCAGACTCGAATAGGTAGTCATGTAGGTATGTAAAATATTGCGACATAAAAATCGTCGCGCCTCGCTTATTAAAAATGAAAATGTCGAGGGAGAAAACAACGCGCTACAAACACAGACTTTAAATTTGGATAACGGGCCAATTTACTTTATAATAGGCTAGGTGTTTAGGCATTAAAACTAATAACAGCGCGAAATCGGTTCTGCCGAACGAAAATTCGACGTTAACCGATTTTCAACACATTAGCCGTGACCCGGCTTTTTTTCTCGGGGAGGGAGGGGTTTGTTTGTAACGATTTCCTAGAGAGGGGTGAGCGCATATTCTTGTCACAAATACGACACTATCACTATTATTACTGAATAATTAATGATTTTCGGCGAAATTAAATTTTAGTTTATTCTGCGGTACATAAGACGTGTCGTCGGACGTAAAACCCGGTTCGAGAAATCGTGGTGAAGGAAGACGTTTCGGTGGAGCGGGGGGCTCGGTTGACCCCCTGATCCCCCCTCTGTGCGCGCCACCGGCCGTGGCACTATATACCCACGCTATACAACACAACGTAATATTATAATCGACTCGACCTACCTACGATTTTTGCGTTTCTATTTATATATAAATATGTTATTGTAACCGTTACGAGGTATCGTAATATTTTAGCGTTATAACGCGGGCTAGTTGACGGCGCGGCGGCGTGACGGCCTTTGGCCCGGCTCTAAGAATAGCCGATATTATAATATTATTACGGTAGTATTAATAAGAAAGGATATCGTAAAATTATTATTACTACCAGCGGTGTTATAATCCTATGTGCGTTTTCGCGCGTTTAACACGATACATACGGTGCGCCAAAAAGTCGTTTTTTTATTTTTTTTTTCCCGCGGAGCCGCTAATCGCCGGCAACATCGTCTCCGTAATAAAAAGTGGTGTAGTAGAACAGTAACAGTGGCGATAGTATAGCAGCCGTAGTAGTAGTAATAACAGAAGTAGTAGTAGTAGTAGTAGTAGTAGTAGTAGTAGTAGTAGTAGTAGTAGTAGTAGTAGTAGTAGTAAATGTGTAACGATGCGCTACTCAAAAATAGACAGAAGGTTACGTGCGGAAGTGCGCGTAATAATCGCGCGACCTCGCTCAAAATGTCGCGCGCCCGGTAGTATTTTACAATATTTTATTGGCTTATTACACTATTTAGTGCGAATAATACGTGTAAAAAATAATAATTGGATCGTTAATCGTCCGCGAGCATAGCCCGTGACTCCGCGGGGCCACGCGGAGAATGAGTCGCGAAACGTTTGTGCGTTTACACGTTCAGTACGCGAATGTCACGCGCGCGCCGAGATAGGTGCCAGTGATTTTTTTTTTTTATCTTTTTTAATTCGTTCGTTTACTGTTCTACTAACCCCCCCCCCTCCTCCCCCCTCAACACTATACCGCTCCGTCCGCGTCCGCGTCACACGTGTACACGCGATTCCAAAAACGCTATTGTTTTCGTTTCGTTTCGTATTATTTTTTTTTTTTTCGTTATTCGATTCGGCCCGCGTCTTAAAAATAAACTCCGCTAACAATGCGTTTCCTCGCGGCGCCATACGTTATTCCGATCGAACCTATGTATAGGTACGATTCAAACGCATACACGCGGCGATTCCTTTATCCCGTCACGCCGTCGTCGTCGGAGGCGCCTAGTGATTTATCGAGGATCGGCCAGAAAAAACAAAACAAAACAAAACTCCGGTGACGCGTAGGAATTTTTCGCGAGGATTTTTTTTTTTTTTTTTTTATAAATATTTCGAGAACTACGCGTGTACCACTATAGGTATACGATGACGCCACCACCATCACCGTTCGCACATAGTACGATTTATCGTCGCCACTGCTGCACAGAATCCGGCCGAAACCGCCAGATGGAAATATTACGTCGACGGCGTGGGTGGTAAATAAGTTCATAACCCTCTTTCGAAAAACCGAGGCGACGTATAAATGTTTTACGACGGTTTTTTGCGCCGCGATGGTGCGTACACGACTACTGTACGTATAGAGACAGTGTATGGTATATAGTAAGTCATTATTGGGACCGAGTCAAAAGTGTCGAAGCAAGAAAAAAAAAAAAAGGACTGCGTAAAACGTATACTTGGCTGGCTGGTTTAAACGAAAAAAAAAACAAAATGCGATAAAAAATCTTTGCACGATAAAGTCGCAAACTATACATTGTTTATGCGGATCCCTCCTGAGGAGAAAGAGGCGGACGAAACCTTTTGTATATTTTATATACGACGAGATACACTTAGGAGAATTGCAGACAATATAATAATAAGCGCGTAGGATGTTTAGTGTATACAGTAGACAGTATTTTGGACACGAAAGTAAAGTTTTTGTTTTTCTTCTCGTTTCTTGTCATGACAAAAATATTTCGTACAGTTTCGTTCAAACGTTAACGCGAAATATTTTAGCCGTATGGATTTCGATTGAAATGGCATTCGTTTTAGAAAGTCCTGAGGTCCTAAAGCACATAATTTGAGAGCGTTTCCAAAATAACTAACCCTTATACCGAACTTACATTCTCTTAAACGCAAATTTTCTTTGTGATTGTAAATAATTTCTCTACCAGAACTCTTGCTACAATCAAAAACTTTATAGGAACTTTATTGTATTTTTAATCTAGTTGGCATATCGAGGAGGTTAATTTTTGATTTTTCTTGAAATTTACTTAATTAATGGAAAAAACTGACAATTTGTTGTGTGACTTAAGTCGATTTCAAAGTTGACTTAGCAACGAGGAAAAAAATACTCTGCTTAAAATGGTATTGCGTTCGAAATGATTTGTTGTTGCATACAGATATAAATGAAATTACTCTCTATACAACCACCCTTACAATGTCCCTCCTATCTGTGAACCACCCATCAGTGTAGTATCAGCCTTTTTTTTTGCAGCGAGTTACACGTTATACAGCATGACACAGTTTCCAAATTAAAAATTTACCTCTCCGAAATCTAAAATACGGCATTGTCGTCGTCGATAAAATATGGCGATTCCGCTTGAATGTTTTCAAACGGTATATTATCGTATTATTAAACACCGATCGATGAATCCAATAAACTCGACTTCAAAAAAACTCCTCGTCCTGGCCACGTCGTATTCGCACGAGTTGACTCCGTATTAATAGCTTCCGCGCGTGTTTGACCTTCGTTCGGTGCTACGTGCACAAATTACACATCGGTCTAATAATGATATTGTGCACCGAGGAACGTTTAAACCTGTAGGACTTTACGGTGTATAATATGATTTCCGCGTTTTTTATTGCCCTTTTTAGGAGGTTTCGAATTGTTTGTACATTAGAGTTGCTTACGTACGTTAGCGTTAGTCAATTTATTAAACCACGATGTTCTTCTTGTAATATCGTGTCAAAAACGGTGTCACTGGAATGACAAAAAAATTATTTTTAATGATACTTCATTAAACGTTCGCGTAAACGACACGAGTTCATATTGAATTATCGACTTGTATTATATTATATTATGATTTTGTTTAATGAACAAAGTTATTACAGTTAGTTACTAGATTTTTACAGCAGAACAATCGACCAAAAAAATCGGTGAACATATTATTTTGGGCGGTCGGGAATTGGGCCAAATTTTATATACCTGCCTCGTAAACAATATGTTTGTACGTTTTATTACCCGGGTATTGGGCAACAAATAAAAAGTAAATTTTTAAAGGGTACCCGGAGATTGGGCCACAAATATAAATTATAAAAATATATAATTTTAAATATATGAAATATAAATACAAAATTAGTCAAACAATTTCAAAAATCAAACAGATTGCTTCGCGCAGTTGGTATTCATTAGTTCCTCCAATATAAATCGATTATAACGAACATAAGCAATTTAAATTTGTAATCGTAGAAGAAATAATAATATGGTTTAAAATAATTTAAAATAGCGGTGTTAAATAGAGGTTTGCCTTTTGTCAAATCTAAAATGTATTACAATATAATGGCCCAATAACCGGGTCTACCTGCTATAAATGTAAAATTTAAGTGGCCCAATTACCGTATACCTTTTTGGTATAAGGTTCATTGTGGCCCGATTCCCGAACGTCTATTATTTTATCTCTTACTTTATTTTGGAAACACGTGGTCTATACGTAAATCTATTTTAAATAATATAACGTGTGACTAGTTATATTTCTCGATTTCATATGATTGTCATAGATTATAAAGAATGGGTAGACACCTTCTATAACAATCGTTTTTAAAGGTGATGGTCTTGGACGGGCGGAAAACTGAGGCGATTTATCAGTAATCACAAGAGATGAAAAGCTACAGGAGAAAAAAAACGTCTCATTTTATGAGACAATCTCGGAACACTGGTAAAGATAGCTTATCCATATATTTATTATCTATGAGCAGTATGCGTTTACTCGGGAAATTATCCCCGTGATAACAGATGAACGAAAATCTATGGAGGAAACGAAATTATTTGTGGAAAGAAATTATTGTAGGTGACCAAAGTCTCCTGCAGAAAAATCAACGTCGGCATATTACGTGGTTATGTTCAATGACTTTTTTTTTTGTCAAGCGTACAAGGGTAAGTGAATGGGGTGAACTGAATCCGTACCGTTTTCGTGATACGCTTTTAGTTACGGAAATAATGATATTATTGATTTTCTCATCCGGGCTCACTGTATGCAGTGGCTGCAAAGTCACTGAAGATTATATAGCACCTATATAAAAACAGAGACGTCCGGTAAGTGAGGACATGAAGGCTTATTATTTTATCAGATCGATTTTAATCCTATTTAATGCACGGAAAACCGATCGCTTGGTATTCGAAAGCATTCGTATAGGTTTTCAAATATTTTTTTTTTTTTTGGTTTCGTTATCAATTATCGTACACTCCAGGTATATACACTTACAGTCAATGCTTATTATAATTTTTTTTTTTATTTTAAACGTTTTACTGTTATAAAATATTTACCTAATGTACAGCAGCGATCTTCTATTCATGGACCTCGTCGTTGTTGCAGAAGACCGAGAATTTTCGAAACCCAAAGTTTTCTTTTCCTCTCTGTCAGCCCCCTACATGTATAATTATAATGACGATGCTGGTATGCAAATTTTTCGTTTTAATCGCTCGTGTTATTCGGCATGAGGTTTTCAATCGGATTTGTATAATCATGCGATATTTGCAATGATTCCGCGAATGAAAAATATAAGTAAAAGCCTATGCAGTCGATAAAACGGATGACATTTTTTAAAAAGACCTGATAGTGTGAATGGGTGTACCATTTTTATATAGATGGAGCGTTTGGAAGATAGGATAAATTATAAAGTTATTTAAATTATATCTGTACGCAAAAAGAAACCGTGGCAGTTTTATAATTTTTTTAATTTAGTACTTACATAATATTTCAAAAAAAATTATCTTTACTTTTTGAAGTAATGTCACGGGTTACTTCTATCACGCCATCACGTCTCATACATATATATATAATTATCGTTATAACTTATTGTAAATATAAATGACGGATTGTATATTATAAAATTGAAAAAACCGCATTTAAAAAAAAAAACCACTAGATAACGTTCAACTATTTTTATTTGTCGTTAAGCACAACTCATAATGAATCTCGTGTTAAATGGTCAAGCATTTCTGTTTTGTCAATAAATTTTATCATTAAAATATCCCCCGAATAATTGTTAAAATAACTCGAAAATGTCGAAATGTCTATAAATGGCTCAAAAATCGCCAGAATATGTTGAACATTTTAACACGCCTAGAAAAGGCCAATATTAAGTATTATGTAAAAATGTGCGGTCTCTACGATTATTTTAAACTTATTTGCAACAAAATCGAAACCAACAATACGGATAATTCCGTAAACTTTTCCTACTTTTTTTCCCCGGTTTTTCGAATAACGAAGAAATCTACACAGAAAACCGAAAAAAGTTTTTATTGTTCACCGATAAGACTATACATCTTAAAAAAAAAAAAAAAAAAAAAAAATGCCACTCTTGTAATTTGGAACAAGATTTATGGTTGAAAATAAAAATCAAAAAAATGTAAAATAATATGAAATATTTAATGCTGTAAATATTTTCTCCGTTTTTCTGTTGGCTTTTTTCCGGGTTTTTTTTCCAATCATTATGAAAACTAATTAGAAAACAAAATAATGCCCTCTAAAATGCACCAACTAGATCCGAAATTCAAAAAAAAATGTATTTCTTGTTATTTTTTTGATTGGAGCAAGGTTTCTGGTAGTAAATTAGTTCACGCAGACAAACAAAATAAAAGCGCGTATCATAGTAGACCGAACACATTCGTCGCCACGATTAGAAACTAAAAAATATATTAGTATATTACGAGTGTCGTGGCGATGTGCACTCGCGACAGGTCCGAATCGTACCGATATGTAAAACTCAATAATTTAATGACGGTATCTATATTATATTATGTATATAGAAATCCTTTGGAAATTTTCCGGTCTCCTCTCTCTCCCCCCCCAGTCCCTTGAACCGGAAAAAGCCGCGATACAAAGTGAAATATTAAAGAAGCGTCGCCGCACATCATTATAGGAAAATCAATGAAAAACGAGTCGTAGGAAATTATTTCGTATCGGCCTCAACGTTATAATACTTATATAAGTGCACTACACATATAAAAATTTCAAAGTGTATTTTGTGTATTCTGAGTGCGATTCACACACAAATTATCACAGAATATTTCTGTTAGCCGTTCCTTGACGTGGCGGTGTTTTCAAAATATTCTGTCGATTTTCGAACTATTTCTAAGCCATTTAGACGTTTTCGAATTTTTTTAATATTAACCTATTGTTATATTGATACAGTTATTGTTTAAGTAAGCCGAGCACAAATATTTGACATTTTTACACGAGATTCATCATCAGCCGATAACAAATAAAAGTCTAGTAAAGTTAATTTTTTTTTTGAATTATTATTTTGGCCTTAATCGGAAAAATCATGGCTTTTCAAAACAACTAACCAGACTCCGGTCTGAATCGTATTTCGTTTGAAACGATCTATCGTTTCGTACATATACAAATTAAATAACTCTGTGTATCCTACGTATCCTATGTTTCACAGCTATATTTCCTAGTTTCCACCTACACCAGTGGCCTAATATTACTAACACTATTCAGTATTCTGTGCGAAAAATACACCGACCGTGTACAAAACGCCCGACAACGACTGGCTCTTTTGACGGAAAGGGCGGGGATTATTAGAAATTATTATTATCAGTTGAACTATTGAACGACTCGTATTGTATTTATATTTTTTATTTTTTCTTATTTATTGTATTTGCCTCGTATTAGCCTTTCCGAGTACGCCGAGCGTGTGCGTGTTATTGTGTATTCGGAAACGGAACCCGAAAGGGCGAAATTTTATATACAGTATTCATCACATCTCCATGTCCCATGTATAATACAAACGTCACGTATATTATGATTATGTATGCAAATGCAAACCCAAACTTAGGTCACCGAATTTCGTGTCATCATCACCCTCCGGCAGTTGAGTAAGTACCGCGGGTCTCCGTCTTGGGGGCTGTATTACGGGCCAATTTCGCAACACCGAAAAGTCGAAAAGTACAATCCCGCGAGACGTTTTTTTATGCGTAAATAATGGAACGGGGTCAGCGACGGTACGTTTCGATTCTTTCGCGAACTTTTGCGGCAAAAAAAAAAAACGACCGTCTCGTGGTTTGAGTGTACGGCGAAGATCCCGAAAGTGAAAAGGGGTAATATTTTTAATCGAGTTTCGACGGCTAACCAGACGAAAATTCACCGATAGTTTAAAATTTCGTACAATACATTTTCGAAATAAAATAATATTGCTCGTCAACAATAATCTCCGTCACGATGCGTTGTCAGATGATTCGTTAAATTGAAGGGCACGATGCATCGACGGTTACGGCAAGTCAAAAATGACATTTTGATGGTTTCGAGTAAAGCAATTAATACTGCACGCTTTGATACAAGTCCGTCTACTAGATACGATTATTAGATTGATAAGGACATGTCTGGTTCAACTTAAGTTTGGACGAAAAGAAGATAAGTCCCATAGATTTATGGTATTTTTTTCTTGAACAATTTCAAAAAGTTAACTCGTCTTGTTGCACATGAGCCTTTCAATTTATTACTCCGGAGATGATAATAGGTGTTTTTTTTTTCATCAAGATCACTTTAGTAGGAAAGGGTAGTAAATAGTATATTCTTCTTTCGCGGATATTCTTAGGGTATAATTTCTAACCGTTTTATCAGTTTATAAATGGCATTAATCCATTATTATCAAAACCGTTAGAAATTTATTCCATTTTCGAATCACGGAGCTAGGTTGCTGTACTTCACAAGTCTACGTATAATAGACAATATTATTATGATTTGTACTTAGGTTATTATGGCGTAGTCAAGGGGGACTAAAGTCTATAGTCCCCCCCATCACTCGTATCACCCGTGTTTATATGTGTAAATTATTCTACGATTTGAGTGTTAACTATGAGTTTACAGTTATTGCTTCCACTCTTGAAATAACGTTTTCTACATTAAACCTTATAAAAATGTATTTAAAAATGAGCGTTATATCAGAAAAAAGAGTTAGTCATGGCTAATATAAATAAAAAACAAAACATTATTGAAAATTATATAATTACTTTCTTTGTTCAAAACGCTCATGGGAGGATGCAGTTGTCAGAGGGCTGTAATCAGTATATTTACAAGGAATATGCATAAACTCTAACGTAACTTTTATTACAATGTAAGTTTTTATTATTATACATGTATTATTTAAAGTATAACATTCACGAGAATAATTGTCTACGTTTTTTGTTGAAAGACCGATTGAATCGCCTTATACACAATCACGGTTAAAGTAAAAACATATTTAGCCCCTCCTCTATTTCAAAATCCTTACTAAGCGTATTGATACACATATGCGAAATAATAATAATGACATTTTAAGAATTTCGTAAACAACGTTGTATAAACGACGGGGTCAATTTTACTAGGAAAATATAACTGTTGCAGGTTTGTTATAAAAGAAAAAAAAAAAAAAAAAAAACTATAGTATTTGGCGAAACAATACAATAATATAAATACAGTGCTCGGGAAAAACGTGCCAATAGTTAAACATTTTAGAAAATGAATCTAGAAGCAAATCATAAATCTAGACGTAAATCATAAGTCTATACGGGGACGCCGTGTACACGGGGCAGCCCCCCGTGGGCTTGATAAGACGTAGCTCGGCCCCCTTTATATTACAAATTTATATGAAAAATCAATATTTCCCGTATATATACACTCAAAATACTAATTTTATTTCTAACAAATTAATTGAAAAAGATAAACGGTTTTTT